CTGCATATATATGCAGGGAACTCAGACATGCGCACACACACACCCCCTCCGTGCGGACAGGGGCTGTGCCACTCGTGCGCTGCTGCCTCTGTATCAGAGACAGCAGTGCAGGGCAGCAGGCAGGAGTCAGTCTGCAGGAAGCCACCCACGCGTGGGTGAGGGTGTAGGGGAGGCTGCTGCGAAGCACTTTCTGTCCGCAGCAGGCCTGGGTTCCATGCGCACACACACACCCCCTCCGTGCGGACAGGGGCTGTGCCACTCGTGCGCTGCTGCCTCTGTATCAGAGACAGCAGTGCAGGGCAGCAGGCAGGAGTCAGTCTGCAGGAAGCCACCCACGCCGTGGCTCTGCATTTTAAATGTAGTAAGAGCTAAAATGCACAGGCGCAGTGTCCTGGACTGGCGGAAGCCGGGACTGCTCGGTCCTGGCTTGCACCGGGTCCAGCAGCCCCTGTTCGCAGCTCCCCCCTTTTAAGCTGCCTCCCTCTAGCATTGTCTCCTGTCTCCACCCCCACCCTCCACTTGCTGCCACTCATACAGATGCAAAATGAATAGTTTAGTACTCTACTTGACTACCCAATAAGCTAGTAGTCAACTATTTACTAACATCCCTTTTACAAACCATCTTCTTATTTTTCTATAGCTTATCAATTATATGGCCTAAAAAACCCAACCTTCCCGCCATCCAAAATTGCCTACCTTTCCAAAGACGAAAGGTTCTGTTTGTTGAGGGTGTGTCAAGGAGCCATAAAGATGTTCTGAAGGATGATGATCAGAAACACAATTAGGTGTTAGCCTCCCATGTTTATTTATTACTCACTCTGTAGCTCAGGATAAGTGAGGCTGAGCATTTGTTTTCTTTTTTCTTTTCAGAGCCCCCTTGATAGAGCCCAAGCAGCAAAGAACAAAGGAAACAAGTATTTTAAAGCAGGAAAATATGAGCAAGCTATTCAGTGCTACACAGAGGCCATCAGTTTATGTCCTCCTGAGAAGAACTTTGACCTTTCCACTTTCTACCAGAACAGAGCTGCTGCATATGAACAACTGGTATGAAGCTTGAATTTTAAAGTGCATTTAAACTCCAAAAAGTGCTATTTCTTCTTTCTTTGGCCTCTCCAGCTCCAGCACATGCCGGAATAGTGTTGCCTTCATTCTTGCATGTAGAAAGCAGAGCGAGATTAACTACCATGAACCATCAATATTCAAGTTACATAGAATCCACCATTTTACTTTAAACTTGCAAGTGACCCATGCCACATGCTGCAGAGGAAGACAGAACCCCCTCAAATCCAGGGTCCCAATCCCAAATATTCAAGATCCAATTAAAAGTTAATTTCCATTGACTTTCCCTAGTATGTTTTATATGCATTCTGATTGTCTTTCTCCCCTTAGTCCTGCTGCTTAAGAACTGGCCTACTGTATGTGAGCTTTGTATTTTAAAACTATGAGATTGAGACTTGGGCTCCAGCCGTTACAAAAATCTCAACTTGAAAACTGAGTGAATTTAGCGTGGAAGTTAGAGAAGGAATAAATATATGTGTGTTTTTTCTTAACATCACTAGTTTGACTGTAATTATACCAGAGTTTAATTTAGGTACATTTTTATGAACTGTTCTACCCCAGTGACAGGTTACGGGAGAGTTCCCTCTTTTCTGTTTTATTTTAAAACACCACTGTTGAATTAATACTCATACTACAGATGTTAAAGAATGAGACCCTGTTCAGAGGTTCTCATTTTTATTATACTGTAGATCACACCTTAATAGAGATCCTTGTGAATCAGCTCTTTTTCTGTGTGCTTTTGCATAACATCCCTGTGAAGGAGCTCCTTCAAAAAGTGAATCTCATGGTATACTTTTGCTCATGATTTCATGTTTCCTTCCCATCTGTTATGTTCTAGTCCTCTGCTCCTTTGCACATGCTTTCCTACCATTTTGTTGTCTTCTCTTACATGTCTGCCTAGCAGCCTGGTTCCTGCCTTCCCTGGAAATTCCTCTCCCATATCTTTTGTTCTCTTTTATTAGTGACCCACAGTTTCTGATTCTAGTTGAAAAACATGCAGAAGTAGCTGGAAACCAGAGGAAGAACCAGCGCCATGCAAATTACAGCTATAAGCACTTGGCTGGGGCTCTGAAATTAAGAGAAATTAGCTATTATTATAATGCCCCTTGAATGAATGATAGCTTTTTAACTAGGCTGTTCTTATACCTGCAGCAAAAATGGAAAGAAGTGGCACAAGATTGCACAAAGGCAGTTGAGCTTAATCCTAAATATGTGAAAGCGCTCTTCAGACGTGCAAAGGCGCATGAGAAACTAGATAATAAGAAGGAGTGTTTAGAAGGTGGGTACTCTTGTGCGTTACGTACTTGAAATAAAGTTAATGAATTAATAGTTAAGAGTGAAATTTTGGAGCACATTCTAGAACTCTTGGATGCTTGTTTCTGCACATGTGGTGGAATAAAGTGATGCCTTTAAAATGGGTGGGGAACCTAAGGTCCAGGGGCCGGATGCAGTCCTCGGCTTGCCTGGATCTGGCCCTTGACGGGAGCTATTGGGAAGTCCACGCTGATGAGGGTGGGTTGGTTTGTTTGTTTTTTTGTTGTTATTTCTCACTTGTGTGCAGCCGCAGACTGATTTTTCTGTGGGTCAGTAGCCCTGACCCAAAAAAGGTTCCCAACCCTGCTTTAAAAGCTACTATATGTTAATGTTTTCTTCAGTAAAGTTTCTCTAACCTTAGGTGCATCTTTCAGACTAAGAACAATTAATTGGTTTAGGTCTGATAAATTAGTTCTTACTGCAGCTATTTGTTATGTTCATGTTTCAGTAAACAACCCTATGCCTTAAAGCATGATTCAGTTAAAAAAGGGAATCTACACTGTTTATCATTCTACTTCATGCCATAACAAAATTGTTCCTTCCTTGCCTATTTTGGATGAGCAGAATTAGTCTAGAAACCTAGATTCTTTTTTAGGGGTGGGAGAGAAGTGCATTAAAATGGTGGGGAAGACATCCCAAAAATAGCTGTTAAAATTCCCTTAAATCCTGTGACCTGGTGTTTAAAAGAACAGCAACTTAAAAAAAATAACAGTCTTACAAAACTCATTGTCTACTAACAACTATAACAAATGAAATTACAAAAAAAAGAGAAGAGAAGAAAAGTTGGTTTTTCATTCCAGGTCTCTGTTTCAAAACCCTGTTGAGAACCCCAATCCTTCTTATAGGGAGAACATTTAAGACATGGGAGGAGGAGGAGAAAGCAAACTATAAATACTCGCCCTGAATCTAGCAGACCTTCAGTTACATGCTTTCATTGATTTTGTATTTTTGCCTATCTTTTCAAAAGGGCTATATTTGCACCCATCTCTTTGGTCTACTACTGAGAATATTCTTGTACATAATCTTGTATAAGCAATTGCCCTTTGTTTAAGTTTATTTGGCAAGTTGTGTGTCTCTTCCAAATTGCAAGATGTTATGTGCATTTTCTAGAACTCCTGTTTCAATCTAAGGAAAGCTTCAAATTGTCTTCAGTTTCAAATGAGGGGCAAGTCTGCCACTTGATAAGTAAAAATACAGTGTTGTGTTCCTCCATAGCATTTAATCAAACAATGTATAAGTTGGCATGTCTGTGAAATGTTTCCTGAAACTGCCTTTTCACTAATTGACAATACTTAACGTTACCCCTTAAACACCATTGCTTAGGTCATGCCTGCACTTCATTCCTACTGATATGTTCATGAAAAATGAAATTGGTCTTAGCCATACTGATGTTCATCTCAAAAAAGGGGATGAAAAACAATGCTATACATTTCTTGGTGGGTGTAGTAAGGAAATCATCAGGTGCTTTCATTAGAGGGTTGTTTTTTTGGTTGGTTGTTGCTTTCTTGATTGATTGAGATGCTTTTCTAGTTACTATAGGAATTACTATAAAAATAATGGGTCAATGGAAAACACTTTCCTTGTAACCATTCAGGACTACAAAAACTACTGTAAGGCCCGTTACACTAACCGTTAGATCCATATTATTGCAATTGATGCAGCAGGTGTCGATCTAGTGAAAACCTGATAAATCTATTGTGAAATGCTATCTGGTTGACTCTGAGAAGAAAAAGGGAAGTCAATGGGAGAGCATCTCCCATTGATCAAGCACCAAGTAGACTCTACAGTAATTCAGCCTAAGCTACGTTATTCACATTAGGGATGTAAGATACCGTTTAATTGAATAGTCGTGTAACCTAATGAATTCTTAGCATTTACATGACTATTTGACAGTCCCTGTAATTGACTATTTGACAGGTGCGGGACCGACAGCCAGTGTGCTCCTGGCCCCAGTCCCAAGGAGCCCCCTGCTACCCTGCACTGCTGCCTCTGTGGGATGCGGAGCAGCCTCTGTCTGCGGGGAGCTTGGACCCCCTTGCAGTCAGGGGCTACTGCTGTGGAGAGAGGCTGCTTGGCGGCAGCCTCCCCTGCTCCCCCTCCTCGTGCTGCTACTGCTTTTAAGCCAGCTCCCCCAGCACTGGCTTCTGCCTGCCCCTCCTCGTTGCCTTTGTAGGAGGTGGAGCCAGCACACACGGGTGCCTCCTCAAAGGCAGTTTCCCCATGCGTATCACCAGTTCCTGTCTGCCCCCCCACTCCTGCTGCCTCTCTATCAGAAGCAACAGCATGGTGGGGGGAGGTGGATCTGGTGCTTGTGGGGAGCTGACTTAAAGCCAGTTCCTCACAGGCACTTGCTCCTGCTCTCCCCTCCCCCCCTTGCTGCCTCTGTTGGAGAGGCAGTAAGGGGGGAGAGAGTGCATGTAGTCGAGAAGATTAACCAATAAGCCCAGGCTTATCGATTTAACTGTGTAGTTGACTACACGTTGATCTCCTTAATTCACATAACTTGGGGACTGACTCCTACATTTGAAATAGAAATCCTGTTCATTGCAAAATAATAACCTTGCATGCTGAGTCAATGGGAATGATATTCCTGATTTATGGTAGGCATCTTTCCGATATTTCTTTGTTTCTTTCACCCCGCTATATCTGTTGGAATGAAGGAGGCCCTTGAGTAGACGTATGATAAGATGAGAAAATCTTTGCCAACATTGCATGCATGCATATACCGAGTATTTAAAAAAAAATTCTCTAAAAAATGTTCTCAATTTGTCTCCCATCTCTTAAGGAACCATGGGAAAAGATGATTTTTATATCCAATTAGGTCTTGATACTATATGGGCCCATACAATCTTATTAATGTGTCTTCAGGGCAGCATGGAACAATAATTTTCCTGTCACACTGCTCTTGCAGTTGAGGTAGCATCATGGATGGGTGGAATTGATACAGTGTGGGCTTAACACTGGCAAGGAGGTAGCAGAGTCGTGAGATTTTCTTTTAAACTTGTCCTCTTCCCCAGGCATGGATGAAGGCCCTGTAGTTTAAGTTGGAACTCATGCAGAACGCTGATCAGAATGGGAAGGTGCAGGATAAAGGGCTGGAAAGGATAGGAACTTGAATAGGTAGAAAATGAAAAACAACTTGATATTCTAGACAAAGTAGCAAATTTCATGTGAAGACTTTCAGCCTATGAAATGGATGATTTTGTTTCCTCAATGGCGACTCATTTCGATAGCTTGTTTGTGTAGCACTTTAGATACCACTGCATTGGCAGTTGTTAACAATCCTGCCTTTGTGTTGTTTTTTCCCAGATGTCACTGCAGTGTGTATTTTAGAAGGTTTCCAAAACCAGCAAAGCATGTTATTAGCTGATAAAGTTCTTAAACTACTTGGAAAAGAAAAAGCCAAAGAGAAATATAAGGTATGACTGGAATACAAATTTAAACATTCTGCTTTCATCTGATATGTTGCATGGATTTCAAAAGCACTGATGATGGTTCATAGTCTATATCAGTGATTATTTATTAGTTACTGTTTTAATCAATAAAACTATAAAAATTTAGCTATGCATTCTGTCTTCCTGAGCTGCTATTTTACGGATGCTGTTATAGGCTTTTATTTTAAAAACTGTAAAAAAGGAGGCAAAGATGCTTTTTAACTTCTAGACTACATCTTTTCACGCTTTGTGGAAAAGTAAATTTGTGTTTGAGTAAAACACTGGTGGTTTCATCTCAGTAATGTGTACAATTTAGCCCAATTTATTATTATGCACAGGTGACACCCCTGAGCAAGCTGATGTCTGTCTTAATCAGGACTTTAATGGAATTAAAGTATGATGGGAACTACTTTGAGGGATTTCAGTAAATGTCACCCCAGGCTATTTCTCTGCTGCTGTTCTATCAGCCAAATGTGCAGTTAGACAGCAGGCTATCAGTTTAATTACGCTGCTTGTCAATTTAGGCAAGGCAGTTGGTGGTAATTAGAAAGATGAAGCGTGGTTGTGATCAGTTCTGTTTTGGATGTAATAATGGACTTAAAATGTAAAAGGGCATTGGCAAGATATTTTTTACATGTTCTTCATTATTTTTAATAAACATAGAAAGTTAGAAATTGAAATCTTTCCATACTGCCAGGACAAAATAAGGGGAAAGAGATGGGTCAATGAAGAATTTTGTTTTTAAAGAATAAAGAAATGATAGCTTGTTGGAAAACAGAAGGAGCTATATGAGGAAACAGGATGCGGTCGGAAATATGGCTTTATTATTAGAGGACTGCACTCTGTCAGGGGATTTGTTTTCAACCTACTATAGACTAGAGCTTGGTTTAGTCACTTATTCTTAGCTTCTCTTCCCCATCTGTAAATTGGGGACAGTAAGTGGGGTGTTTTGAGTATAACCATATTCATTATTACAGTTGTGAGATGTTTAGATACAAACTGTGGTTGTGGAACCATGTCTGTAGCCAGGAGCGAGGGAGGCTGGGAGATGGCATAGAGGGACTAGGTAGAGGAGTGAGACACATTTAAGTCAAATTGCATATTTTGTGGTTTAAGTGTTGAACAGTGGATGAAAGGCATGTGTCTGATTTTTTTTTTGTTAAGTTTGGTTAAAAAAATCAGATTTTTCCAAGTGTTTTTGTAACTGGGAAGCCAAGATAATAGATGAATATGTGAATAATCTTGAACAAGGTTGTCTATTTCAAACAGCTCTAAGCTATCTTGAATGCTAATTGGGATTTTGAAAATTAAGGCGAGTGCATGCAAGTTGTTCTATCAGGAAGGACTGAATTGTAGCCCTTATGTATTAACCTCACTTTGAATAACATACTATGTACAGCCTTACAAAGGAGCTCACCCCCTGGTAATTGTCAGATCAAAGGTGAAATGAGCTATGTCTGAACAGAGTGCTAGGCAGAGTTGAGTACATCCCCTAGCACAAGACAGTCCCCATCCTAGGCATAAATGAACTTCAGTGGTGGGAGGGACAAGGAAGAGATGTATGTCTACCCAAATGTGTTAAGGGCAATCAGGATTGAAGTAATTCCCTATTTTATATTTTCTTATAAGATAGACCTTTTCTTCTTTCATTTAATCTTTGTTTCCATTTCTTCTTTTGATGGTGAAGTGCGTCTGCCTGTGCAAGGCAGAATGTTCTGTATGAGTAATGACCCCATGCCAGCCCTATTAACGGGATTACAAAAAATGCTCAGTGCAAAAATATATTCTTTCACCCTCGGAAGGGATGGAAAAGTCAAGAATGGATTTTTTCCCAATCCACATCCTTCTTTACTGCCTGATCTCAATATTTAATATACGAACATTACATTTTCTGCCCTGTTTCAGAACCGTGAGCCTTTGATGCCTTCACCACAGTTCATCAAATCTTACTTCAGCTCTTTCACAGATGACATCATCTCTCAACCTCTGCTTAAGGGTGAGAAATCTGATGAAGATAAGGACAAGGAGGGGGAAGCTTCAGAAATTAAAGAAAAGTGAGTATGGGAGTTATTGGTACAAAAACTTGTCTCAGCCTCAGATATTCTGCACTCAGATGCTACTATGTGTATTTACGAGCTTGTGCCTCTGTTTGTTCAGGGACTTCTTCTAAACAGTAAGATCTATTGCTATGCAGCTTCTCTTACCATAACTTAGAGCGAGGTCAGAGTTTGGTTGTGACAGGAGAACGGGATGTGCCTGGAGTGCGAATTGTTTCTCGTAAAACTCTATGGCAGGAGTCTGCTAGCAGACACAGTTATATGGCAGAATGACCACGGGCGGGTGGCGCACCTTAAGACCGTGACTGGCTGAGGGAGGGGCTCTGAATGTTCCTATGCAGGCATAGTACCTCTCCTTCCCTCCCTCCCTCCCTCCCTCCCTCTGTGCTGGTCCCCATGTCCCACCGTCACAACCCAATACACTCCCATCCCCCCAGACATCGGTCCCAGTGCCAGACAGCAAGGTGGGGGGGGGGCGGGAACCTGGGCAGGCAGTGCTGCCCGTGATGGCCCTGCTGCTGGCTGGGCAGCACCACCTGTGCCCTGGGGAGCCCTCCCACACACCTCCCAGCTCCCTTCCCTGACTCCAGCACCCCCACATTCCCAAGCCCTTGCCTGAAGGACCCAAATAATGCTGGGTAACTCTAGTATTATATAATGTGCTGTTAGAGTAGGAACTGCTATAGTATTAATGTACCTACAAAATTAAGGATGATAAAAAGCGGGTTTTTTGTAAATGTTTACATGGGTGGGAGGTGGGTAAATGTTTACATGTATGTGTGTGGGGAAGGGTTGTGGGGGGGGGGTTAGACGGTTCCCCAGGAACTAGTGCTCGCGGGGTGCCTGCTTAAAAGCTGGATCCCCACAAACAATGACTCCTGCCTGCTCCCCCCTTCCTCCCTGCCACCTGCTGTATCAGAGGCAGCAGCTGGTGCGGGAGGGAAGGCTTGTGTGTAACCATGAAGGTTAACTGATGAGCCTGGGCTCATTGGTTAACCGTATATGCTATCACATCACTATACAAAATGGGAACTTTTGTGAAGTAAAATGAAACTTTTATTAGATCTGACATATTAGTTCCAAACTTTTGATAGCTTTGTTCCACCTTAAATACCAGCTCTCTTAGCATTTCCATAGGGTATAGTAGTAATGGTGTGGGTAACTGGCTCAGTGAGGTGGAACACTGAACATCAGCAATGCTGAAGAAAGGTTTGGTGGATGGGAGGAAGTGGATAGCTGCAACAGTGCTGTTGGAAAAAGGGAGACTCTGGATTAGAGAGGGATGTTTCTCTTCCTTCCTTTGGTGTTGTCTGTAATAATGTTGGGGGGAAGAGATGGGACAGAGTGTGCTATACAAACTAGCACCTGTTTTAGCAGCAGCTTTGAACTAAAATAGTGGAGGCTGAAAAACCTAAAGTTTAAAAAAATATCATAAGCCCCATCTGATATTACTCAGAATGTTAATATCTAAAAGATACCAAAATGAAATGTATGTTTACCAAGAAAAACACATGCTGAGGCACTTCTATTTTGCATATTGAATGTAATGGAGGAGTTGGTGTATTTTACTGTTTTGCATTAGGGTTATTGTCAGATCATGTCTTCACCCTTAATATGGAAACTATTGTAAGCAGCACTGAAAGCTTCTAAGAGCAAGTTGGGGCAAACTAGTTACTGGATTTTTTTACTTCTGTGAAATTTTTTTGATTCAGAGCCACACAGTTGCACACACACTATTGTTTAAAGTGTGATTCTTTCTACCAAATCCTCTTCATAATGTAAACATTGATGTGTTAATTTAGTTGAGGTTTCAAAAATATTAGTTAAAAAGCCCTACTTCTAATATTTTATTCCCTGATCGGTATCCTTGTCCTAGTCTCCCAGATTTCAGGCTTGGGTGATGATTACCCTGATGACATAAGTACTAGGGCCAAACAGTCCCAGTGTAGGAACTCTTGTTCTTTGACCACAGGTAATCCCCTGCCAAACTTATCTTTTCTAAAGTGGAATTCGAGGGCTGGAGTGGATTCTTTCTCCTCTATAGAGTTGCATAAGGTGCATTTTCTTCCAAACTAGTTTGCTTAGAGAGTTCCTGATCCAGGAAATATTTTAAGGATGTTAGTAACTTTACTCATGGTGCCAGTAATTGTTAGAAATGTTAGCATAGCAGATGTGCTGTAATCAAGAAATCTGAATTCCTAGTGACACATTCACATATTTTAATTGGCCTACACTTAATTTGCAGCTCTGGATATTTAAAGGCAAAACAGTATATGGAAGAAGAAAGCTATGACAAAATCATCAGTGAGAGCACAAAAGAAATTGATGTTAAAGGCAAATATATGGCAGAAGCTTTGCTGCTGCGAGCCACTTTCTATCTGCTTATTGGCAATGCAAATGCTGCCAAACCTGATTTAGATCAGGTCATCAGTATGGAAGATGCTAATGTAAAGGTAAGAAATCTCCAATTTTACTTTGAGCTGATTCTACTCTCCAAGTTTACTTTGCGCTGATTCTACTGAAAGAGAGTGAATGCTTGCAAAACGGTTCACTGTTTTCAGATTCTCTGGTAATTAGCTTTTCACCACTTTGTCTAATTATTCCTGCTTTATGCTAATTATCAGAGAGTGGATATGTTCATTGCAGTGGGACTGGCATGCTTAAAGGTATGTCTGCATTGCATACTTTTTTGCCTGCTTGTAGAATACATATTCAGGCAGCCTCCGTAGCACAGGTATAAACAGCAGTGTTCATGGTGAGGCAAGAAGAGTAAAGACATAGCTGAAGGGAGAGAGCATATACCACAGTACACACTAGGGATGTAAATACCCATTAAAAAACTTAAGCAGTTAGACAATAAATTATATCATTTAACTGGTTAACTGAGGGCTGCTGCAGAGCAAGTGGGATCTGCTGCTCTAGATAGGGGTCCCTGCGAGCTGGGATCCTGCCGGCTAGCCTGTCAGGGTTCACTGCGGGCAGGGGGCTGATCCCACCTGGCCCAGCCCTCCAATTAACTGATAACCAGGTAAGCATGCCTGTAAGACTAATGCTTACTGCAGGGCTGGGCAAAATATGATCTGCGGGATGAATTTAGTCTGCCAAGCTGCTGGATCTGGCCCACAAGAGCCTTTAGCCAGCTCTCTGCCTGTCCTGCACCTGCTTGGCAGTCAGGAAAGCTGGCTGCAGGGCCATGTGTTTCTGTGAATGCTGAGAGCCCTGGGGAGGGTGCAAAAGGCTTCTCACACTGCTCCTGCCCCCATTAGCTTCCTCTGGCTGGTTTCCGGCCAATAGCAGCTGCTTGTTTGCAGAATAGGCAGCATGTGAAGTGCCCCACCCCTCTCATCCCCCCAGCTCACAGTGTTCGCATCAGCAAACATGGCCTGAAGACAGGGACCCTGATTAAGGAACCTGCTGGGCTGCTGGCTAAGAGCCACCAGGTAAGGTCTCCCAGCTAGAGCCCGCCTCTGGCACCTCAGCCTCTTCCTTCCCCAATCTTCTATCCCCCTTCTGCATCCCTGCCCCATGTAACCCATACCTTCTGCACCCGTGCTCCAGTCCCCATACATCTTTCCAGACACTGCATCCCTCCTGAGGTCACAACCCGCACCAAGACCTTGCTCCCCAATCCGCTATCCCTTGCCATAGCCCAAATCCTTGCACACACACACCCCCGCACTCCTGCCCCAGATTACAACACCCTCCCAGGCCCTGCACTCCCTCCTCGTACACCCCTCTCCAGGCCAGAATCCTCTCCTGCACCCATATCCCTCCCAGACCCTTCACCCCAATCCCCTGTCCCAGGTCACAACCCAAACCCATACACCCCTACCCCAAGTCACAATCCCCTCCTTCACCCAAACTCCCTCCAAGCTCCCTTCTGCACCTAGCCTCCATTCCAGAGCCCTGTATCTCATTCATTAATATCATGGAAGAGTGTGGCCCTTGACCGCTTACCAAATTCTTGGAGTGGCCCCCTCCCCATCAAAAATTATAGCCCACCCCAGCTCTCTAGATAACCAGTTCATCTTTTACATCCCTAGCGTATTATCTTACATAGCTCTCTGCTTGCTGAAGCTATTCAACTCCTTCTACACTGCTGTTTTTAGCAGTGTATTTTT